CACTTATTTTCAACAGTCGCTCTATAACAAACGCTAGAACGTCTCACGTGCTCGACAATACTGAGTTCAATTACTCACTACACTGTTTCCGTCACGTTGTGACCATGTTGTATATATCAGACTACCCAAATCTAGTAATCTCTCGATAATTCACGAAGGTTTGAGAGAGGGAGTGGCGTGATACTAGTCACGTGACCTCGCTGACGCAACAATATGTACAAAAAACACATCTGGTTAAGACATTTCGGGATGTTTAACTTAATGGTATTTTCTTAATAAAATAATTGAGTTTTAATTTTACTTTAACAGGTGAATAATGATGACAACTGTTTTCCTGTATCAAAATGTGAGACAACAGGTTATTATAAGACTTATAGTTGAACAATTAAGTATTTAGACTACAGGTTTAAGAATAAAATCAAAGTTTGATATTCTGTTTGTAGTAAATAAACAGTGTAACTCTTGAAGACGCAAAATGATAAATAGTAAAGAGGAAAAAATCAAAACACATGATTTACACTTGCTAAACCTGTACACAAGTGTTGCAAAATCATTATCTCTGAATCAGACCAAATGTTTTCCATCTGCATCAGGTAAAGAATATTTTTTAGCATAACGATATATAAATAAAAATATTTAAAAATATATTTTGCGTTGATACATTTTTAAAGTATTAGACAAGGAAAATGATACAAAGTTGGAATTGCTTTTTCTTATCTATCTCTTTAATATATAATAAATCAATACCGAAGCTTCCTTACTAATATTCGTCTTTTCCTCATTCTCTGCTACATCTTTCATTTCTGCAGCTTCAAAACCCCTGTATTATGGTAATTTGGTAAGACTTTATTAAATACAAAAAAAGAGTCACCTTTATGATAAATTCAAGATTTTTTTTAAATAGTACAGAAAGCTTTTTATATAGAAGTAAATCTGCAACAACTATGAAGATTTGATGTAGTGATTAGCTTAAGTGACCCTAACTTGCTTTAGTTTTTACCACATTAAGAAATAGTTAGGAATTCAACACAAATGGTAATTGTAATCAATATTTCATGCTACATTTCACTTAGATAAATAAAATCATCATAAAAATTAATTACCATGCATACAATGTGTAGTAGAAATGTTTTGACTTGTGAAGAGCAAGAAATTGTTTTCTATCAATTTCTTCTAAGCAATTCTTACTGGGCTAATTTTTAAATCCCCCTATCAATTGTTTTTCATCATATTGTTACGTCTGTGTTCGTTTGTTAATTTTCCGTAGAAAATCTTTCCGAGAAACTAATGCGATACAAGTCCTTTCTTAAATAGAACTAGTCTATTCTTTCTCAATACAACTTTGCAATACACTTAATTTCCACAGTCACTTTAACTTAAACACACGCTATAATTCACAACGACTCACGCACTTTACTTACGGTCACTACCGCTCACTTCACTCGATTAACTGTGTCTATGTTATCAAT